CTTTTTTGTGTTTTTTTGCCATTTCCGATGGGTCTTGAGGGGTTGTTTTTTTGCTTCCCCCCATTTCCAATGGGTCTTGGAGGGTTTGGTTGCTTTGGGTTTTTTTCCCCATTTCTGATGGGTCTTGGGAGGTTTGGTTGCTTTTTGAGGGGGTCCCCATTTCCGATGGGTCCTGCATGCTTCCCTTGCTTTTTCCTGTTTTCTTTGCATTTCCAACCTGCACTCTTTGTTCACTGTGCATTTCCAATCTGCTCCGTTTGTTTTTTCTGCATTTCCAATGGGTCTCCAATGGGTCTTGCTCTCTTGATTGCTTTTCCCCCCCCCCCCGCCAGAAGGGATTAACTGCATTTTCAATGAGTCTTGCAGTGATATTTTTTGGTGATTTTTTCTTCTGCTGGAATGGATTAATTGCATTTCAATGCATTCCTATGGGAAATGGTGCTTCGACTTACAACCATTTCGAGTTACGTCCATCTTCTGGAATGGATTATGGTTGTAAGTTGAGGCACCACTGTAGCTCTATTTATAAGGTTCAAAGCAAGAAGAATGCAATATAATTACCCCAGAAAGAGCCTTATTTTTGTATGAGAATTAGTTGATAGGCATTCATATTTTATCTGAGGTTTGAGAAAGTGTCTGTCTGTCTATCTGTTTACTTGTTTCAAACCCTAGCTCCTAGTTGTTGTTGTTGCTGGTGCTGCCAAGTCATTTTTTACTTATGGCAACCTTAATATTAGTGACCTTGAAAAGATCCAAACATTAACAGTCCTCTTCAGGTCTCATAAACTTAGGCTGTGGTCTCTTGTACTGAATCACTCCATTTCATATTTCATTTCTTGAATTTTCCTGCTTCCTTCAACCCCTCTCAGCATTCTTACCTTTTCTGATGAGTCCAAAATACAATAGTTTACGTTTAGACATTTTGTTTTCTTCCAGAGAAAGTTCAGGCTTAATTTGATCTGGCAGCCACTTGTTTGTCTTTCTGCCATTCCATGGCATCCATACAACTCTTCTCCGCCATGGAATGATTCAAGTCAATTAAATTTTTCTTGTCAACTTTTTCACTATCTAGCTTCAAATCTGTTCACAGTAATTTTTTTAGAAACCTAATAAAAAATAATCAGCAATCCCATAGTATAGACGAGTGATGGCGAACCTATGGCATGTGCGCCACAGCTGGCACGTGGAGCTCTTTCTTCTGGCACGCGAGCCAAAGGTCGCTACTCCCACCACCAGGGGGGGCACAGCCAAACCTCATGAGGTGGTTGCAGCCAGGATTCCCCCGTCCGCCGCCACTTCTGAGTCCTTCGGGTCCATCGCCATGATTCCCCCTTAAACCGCCACTTCTGCTTCTGGTCTTCCAGGTCC